ATCTCGATCTTCAGATCAAATGTATATCGTTTGTTGTCCCCCGCTTTTGAGAAAGGGAGAGGACATTAAATCTCATTCGTCTGTCTGTCAATCTGTCAGTCTAGACATCTGTCACAAAAACTTTAACCTTGCCCATAGCATTTGATTAAGCTGAGCTATGACTTCAAATTTCACATGTGTATTCCTTGTGTCAAGACCTTTCTTTAGGTACCACACCATTTACACGGACCACAATTCTTTGAACTTGCTTATTTCCATTTTGTTTTCATGATGAGAATTGAAGAATGGGAAACTCTTTCTTTTAAATATGTGCAATTTCTTGAACATATAAGACTGAAACGCCATTTCATGATACATGTGATAGCTGCACTTTCAGGATTTGACCCTACCCTACCTCCACCAACACTACACTCAACAATAAAAAAACAAACATAAGACTGTTGACTAAGCATTAATTTTCCTTTTATGTAATCATAAAAGCATAGCATAAACAACAAATAATATTTTATGATATGCATATTATTGTTAGATAATAATAACAAGTTAATAAAATAGTGTATTATCATCATCAGTGTTTTTGTTGAACTTGTACATAGGCATACATAACAATCATATTGATAAATATAAAACTCAACAAAATATACACATGTACATTGATACCATACTAATTCTAATCAATAATAATAATAATAATTGTAGTCCTACAGTCTTACCCATATTTACCTTACAGCATAACCTAAACCAGTCACCAATCTCAAAGTTAGAAATTTAGAAAACCTACACCCCCACCCCCATCCCACCCCCAATATACAGTATTTAATGGTAATATACCACTTGGATATCTTTATGCTATAATTCTTAGACTGGGTTAAACTCCTTGCCCTGTGCCTACCCTTCATCCTTAAACATTTTATTAAACCAAGTGATGGTTAAACTAACTCTCTTAAAATATTTAGAGCAGCCTAACCCTTTTCATTGCTTTAATAGTAAAGGTGACATTCTATAAATCCCAATGAAATTATTTTTAAAAATCAAGAAAACATTTGAAATAAGTCAGAAAATAGCTATTATAGATATAATATACAGAAATTAATAAATTTTGCTCACTTGCTCCTTTCCCTAATAAGACTTATGCTTTAGAATCAAAATAAATTTATACCTTAATTTACAAGAAGTTCATTACGCAGTTAAACATTTTTGATATGTATGTTCAAAATCACTAATTTACAAGTAGGTTTACTTCCTAAGATGTGCAATTTATTATTGAATTAGTTCAAATTAAGCACTGCAAAGTAAGTCCCAGCTGGTGACTCAGTCTCTGCTCCTGCGATTAACCACCTTGACCTAAAAAGAAAAAAGTAATATTCTGTAAATTAAATATTCACTAATTAAGTACAAGTACAGTCAATAGTAAAAAAAAATGTGTGAACATTATTTTTCAGATGTTATTCGATCTCTTCATTCCTATGATACAGTTTCTAAAAATATCCCATATAGTAGATACTAGAATATAAATCTGTTCAATTATTCTCACATATGATTTGTTGTCAATCTTTAAAAAACTTGTTTAAAAATTTGAAATATTTTGAAAGCTATGGATTTTCAATCCATGCAATTAGCTGTAGCTGCAGCATTCGTTTTGATAACTTGGATACAAAATGCCTTAATTTTTTATGGTACTTAGATGAATTCAAGTGTAAGATGCACATCTCTGAGATTAAACAGAAATAATTACACTAATTAAAACAGAAGTATACATATGAAATATTAAAACGTACCGTTGACTCTCTTCTTAGATTTCTTATGTGGTTTTCCAGTCCCTGCATGGCTGGAAGTGGTACTGCAGGTCCGTCCTCTCCCATGGAGTGGTGCAGAAATTCACTGGCCTTCTTGGCTGTAGGTGCTGGAAACTGTCTTTCCCTTGCCAAATGTTGCCTCCACCACTCCACATCGGAAGAGGAAAGCTTGCCTCCATCTTCCCATTTCTGAAGGTCCACGTCCATGGCTTGGAAAACCCTTCCTCCCTTCTCGGTCATCTGTGTCTTTGCCTCAGGGTCCTCCTGGAAGGCACTGGCCAGCCCAGTGACGTCTACCTTCTTGTAAGGGGAGGATTTCAGGGGCCACTCCTTGTACGACATGAAGACTTGATCTCCCTCTCTGGTAAACTTGAACACATGGGGGGTACTGTGTCCCACTAAGTGCACACTAGAGGACAGTCCCAGCTGCCTGTAGTCCCAGATGTTCTCCAAATGCTCCACATGGGGTGTTGGGTTATAGGCCTCCCTTGATAGTTCCTGGAGCACTGGCAGGGTCTGGATGGGGGTCCTAGAGATGTGGACAGAGACCCGAGAAAACAGCTCGTCCTCGTGAGTGTGGCCCACCATGAGGAAGGAGAGTTTGATCTGTTAAAAAAAAAAAGGAAAACTGATCAGGTCATTCATACCTTGAAACTAATACAATGTATTGGTATTCCTAAAAATCAACCCTTACGTAAAATAAATATGTGCAATAAATGCAATTTTTTTGTTTTGTTTACTTTTTGGGGAAATATAAATTAAACTGCACATACCGGTATTATACAACACATACCCTCTTTACACAAATACAAACTGAATACTTCATTTACAGTAAAATAATTTGAAGTACCGGGGTAAGGCAATAATCCAAAATAAAATACAATTTTGTTCATATGGCAATGCAAATAAAACTAACTTGATTTAAAAGTTTATTTCTATATACTAATAGTCGCCCGCATGGCGCAGTGGTTAGAGCGTCTGCTCAAGAGTCGCAGAGAAAGAAGTCGATCCTTTCATTGCGGGTTCGAATCCCACTGTGGGACGTGGAAACCGGTCCTTCGGATGAGACCGTATAAACCGAGGTCCCGTGTCACAGTAGGTGCTGGCACGAAAAAGATCCCTCACTGCTCAAAGGCCCTGAGTGCCGAGCATAGGACAAAAATTTGTACTTATAAAGAAGATTTAAACAGGTTTCCCTATATATTTCTATGTAAAACTCTAATCGGCCATTTTGGCCCCACCCTTACCCCAGGGGTCATGACTTGAACAAACTTGAATCTACACTACTTGAGGATGATTTCACATGAGTTTCATCTTTCCTGGACCAGTGTTTTTTGAGAAGAAGATTTTTTCAAAAATGCCAATAATTTTTCTCTAATTCATGATTATCTCCCCTTGGAAAAGGGCGTGGCCCTTCATTTGAACAAAATTGAATCCCCTTCACCCAAGAATACTTTGTGCCAAGTTTGGTTGAAATTGGCCCAGTGGTTCGTGAGAAGAAAATGAAAACGTGAAAAGTTTACAACAACGACGACAGACAACGGACAAATTTTAATCAGAAAAGCTCACTTGAGCCTTTGGCTCAGGTGAGCTAAAACTTATAGAAACAACAAGCCAAAAATTTACCTTCTTAACAATTCGTTGTTGCACAAGACTGGCCAGGAACCCCATAAGAATAACATTCTTATTATCTTTGGCTGAATTATCTGCCTGGATGTAAAGAGTTGGAGGAAGCGACATGTCCTGTGGAAAAAAGAGCAATAAGATTACTGGTAATTGATATAATAATTAGAAAAAAAATGTATAAGAAACATTTAAGCACAGAATGCTGTAGACACCTGGCTAAAGGATTAAAAAGAAGACTTAATTATTAAAAAAAAAAATATTTTGTTCATGGAATTTGAAATGCTCTTGAATGTTTCCTTTCCATGCTGTTAATTTCAATTTATAAAACAAAAATTTACATTGTTCAAAACATTTCAAAGATAGCAATAGGTTATGTGAGTGACTCAGTTGACTTTTTTAATTACAAATACGAGTTCGTATATGAATAATATCATCAATACATGAATTTGGGGAAAGTGTAATGCAACTTGATGCAGTTTATGTAAGTATGCCTTGCACCTTTATAAGTAGAAGAGTACAAGGTTTGTAGAATAAAATTATTTTACTTACATTGGAAACATCCTCTAGCACTTTGAGGAGGCAGTTGATGGTAATGTTCGCATCACATGGAAATTTGTCCGTCCAAGTAAACAGATAGGGTTTCTTCTGACCGTGCTCCAGAACGCCAGTCACATGGTGGTGAACTCTCGTTAGAGTGGCATCTCCCTATGAAGAAAAAAAAATTGTTGTAGATTTCATGACTCGTACTTGTAAACAGTACTCTCATGCTCCAAAAAAAAATTCTCTTTTTAAAAGAATCAACTTATTTAACCGTCTATTTTAATTTGAGAATTGATCACATTAGAACACAAATATGTTTCACCTTATGATATGTAGGGAATCTGGGCAGATTGGTTTTTGCCTGGTCCATGTTGTCTATTATAATAGACAAGTATTTGTCTGGACGATCTGCTGCCTTTTTGGAATGTTTGTAGTACTTCTCCCTGGCTATTCTACAGAGACAATACATATTGAAAATAAAAATCATGTATAACTAGTGCTAATTGTAACGGGGACCGTTACAGATGTTCCCCAAACGCCCCCAACTCCCTTTTGGTGCCATATTCCCTGTCAATTTCATAAAATAAGACAAACTCTATGCATTTGCGACTTTAACAACGTTTACCCAGAAGTGTACCAAGTTCATTCAAATTTGGCATTGCACGCGTGCGCATGTGAATGCATGTGCGTAATGACCATATCATCTTGTCTACACAATCTATATATTTTAATGTATTAAATATAAAAGTATTTAATCCAAAAGTATTTAAAAAATACGCTCATTCAAGTGTATTTTTGATTCTCATTTCACGTGCACGCATTTGCATACATGAGCATGGTGACCATACCCTCTTGTAGTAGTCCATTATATCTATCTATGTTCCAAATCCCATCCTGTTTGGTTGAAAACCAAGGGAGTTATAGCTATTTAAAGTTTAAGCCAATCAGATTGCAGCACACGTGCATGCACGTGTTTTCATGACAATTGCTATATACCATGTTGTAGGATATCCTAATGCATGGCTATGTTCAAAATTTCAAAGGATTTCGTGAAAAAACAAGAAAGATATTGAGACTTTAGTTTCAGCCAATCAGAACAAAGCGCACGTGCATGCGCGTGAGATCTTGCTATTTTGACCATATCATCTTGTCTACGCTACTAATATATCCTTACATTATAAATTTTAAAAGATTTCATCAAAAAATAGAAAAGTTACGGCTGTATCCATTATATTTGTCATTTCACGTGTTGCACGTGCGCGCTCTTGCAAGCACGTGCGCGCAAAATGGCATGTTGACAATGACATCTTATCTACATTTATAATATGTCTATATATTCTTAATATCAAAGCATTACATCAAAAAATGGAAAAGTTACGGCAATTTCAAGTATATTGGTCATTTCAGGTGTTGCACGTGCGCGCTCTTGCAAGCACGTGCGCGCAAAATGACCTTCGTTCCGCAAATCTACATAACATGCCTACTTACCCTAAAAAGGTTTCCCCTTAATCGGATGTGTACTTTACAAGATCATTCGCGGACAAAATTTTCCCGAGAAGAAAAAAAATAATAATAACTAGTGCTAATTGTAACGGGGACCGTTACAGATGTTCCCCAAACGCTCCCCGAATCCCTTTTATAGTCATATTCCCCGAAAGCGTAATTAAATAAGACAAACTTTATGCATTTGAAACTTTAAAAACGTTTACCCAGAAGTGTACCATGTTCATTAAAATTTTATCACTGCACACTTGCGCATGTGAATGCATGTGCGTAATGACCATATCATATTGTCTAAACAATCTATATATTTTAATATGCTAAATATTAAAGTATTTAATCCAAAAGTATTAAAAAACCGCTCATTCAAGTGCATTTTTGATTTTACCCATTTCACGTGCACGCACGTGCATACATAAGCATGGTGACCATACCTTCTTGTAGAAGTCCATTACATCTATCTATGTTCTAAATCCAACCCCGTTTGGTTGAAAACCAAGGGAGTTATGGCTGTTTAAAGTTTCAGCCAATCAGATTGCAGCATTTGTACACGCACGTGCATGCATGTGCATGGTGACCATACCTTCTTGTAGAAGTCCATTATATATATCTATGTTCCAAATCCCATCCAGTTTGGTTGAAAACCAAGGGAGTTATAGCTATTTAAAATTTCAGCCAATCAGATTGCAGCGCACGTGCATGCACGTGTTTTCATGATAATTGGTATATATCATTTTGTAGGATATCCTAATGCATGGCTATGATCAAAATTTCAGAGGATTTCGTCAAAAAACAAGAAAGATATTGAGACTTTAGTTTCAGCCAATCAGAGCGTAGCGCACGTGCATGCGCGTGAGTTCTTGCCATATTGACCACGTCATCTTGTTTATACTACTAATATATCCTTACATTATGAGTTCCAAACCATTTCATCAAAAAATAGAAAAGTTACGGCAATATACATTATATTGGTCATTTCACGTGTTGCACGTGCGCGCTCTTGCAAGCACGTGCGCGCAAAATGACCTTCGTTCCGCAAATTTTCATAACATGTCTACTGACCCTAAAAACATTTCACCTTAGTTGGATGTGTAGTTTACGAGATCATTCGCGGACAAAAAAGTGCCCAGGAAGAAGAAAAATAATAATAAGAAGAAACAGAGTAAAAACAATATGTTCCCCAACTTCGTTTGGGGAACATAATAAGCATGAACAGTTTTCGTAATAACAGAATGCTGCATGTATAAATTAACACATTCATAATTTAGCCAAAACACCAGGTATGGATTGGTTGGCATAGTCGTGAATTAGCGCAACATATTTAGCACTAAAGATAAAAATTAACTATTTATTGTCTATGAGATGAAGTAAAATTTTTATCTGTTAGCTGTTATTGCTGTTCAATTAGCATGTCCATCTGGCTGATAATAGCTAACTAAATTTGGCTCAATGTTCTAGGCCTGATAAAATGGCAGACCAAAGCATGTTTATGAAAACATCATATCATATTTATTTCTTAATGGTAACCATGAATTAACACATTGCTATCTGAACCAAAGCCGTTAAAAAATATAGAGCATGCTTTTTTAAGTACACACACTATATTTATTTTATAAGGCTATATAAAACTGAAATTACTGTTCTCAGACCTGCTCATATCCAATTCGAGGTACCCGCTTTCCAAATTTATTATATTTTTGATAAAAGAAAAATTTGGTTATGTAGGCATAATCTGGGAAAAGAAGTTTGCTCTCACTTTCCAGTAGCCATTAAAGAGACTTGTATACTTTATTTTAAAATACATTTGAAGATAATGTGTACGATATTCAATTATAAACTTATAAGTACTGAAATGGATAGTGTAAATCTGTTAATCAGACATGGAAAGGACGTAATGAACGAAAAAATTTTAACATAATCGCAGAGAAAATTCAGGTAAAAAATACCTCCTTCATTGAATTCATCACCAATAAAAAAATGAATTAAGAAGAAAAAGCCACACATCTACATCTTTTTTTGGGAAAAATGGCCTGAGAAATGGAGAATTAATTTATATACTCTAAAATATGTATTTTAAAAAAGAATATACATACCGTGCCATCAGCAAGTGTGCCTTTTTCTGTTGCTGGAGTTTCACCCTTTGCTCTTTGGTCAGCTTGCTGAGTTTCAGCTGCTTGAACATGGAACATTCTTTGCATTCAGTGAAAGCTGATCGCTGAAATAAATAGAAAAATTGTAAGTAACCACACATGATTCATTATCAGGACATTGGTGTTTATTATCCTATATGTCATCAAATGTATAGATCAAGTTTGGAACATGGGATAGGTGGTTTCTCCTACATTTTTTTTCCATGATAAAGAAATATGTGCTCTTAATTGTTTTTTTTTTCAGCTCTTTCTTTCATTTTGTTCAACATAAAAAACTTTAAAATTATTTTTTTTTGTGAAGTTGCCTCCTCCTCCTTTGAAATATGTCCATGTAACTTAAATAATGTGATAATTGTATGCACATAAAAGTATTCCTAAATTTATACTTATTAACATACAATTTTTTTCATTTTGATAAATATTTCATGATTTAAACATTCATTTAGCATTTTTAGAATTCAAAGCAATGAAAACAAGAGGCCCATGGGCCACATCACTCACCTGAGTAGCTTTGACCATGCTCTTCTTTGCAAAATGTCCCCCTTGTAATACATGTTGTGACCCCCACCCTACCACATAGGTCATTATTTGGATAATTTAGAATCTACACTTACCCGGGGTTCTTTCATGTAAGTTTCAACTTTCCCGGCACAGTGGTTCTTGCAAAGAGGATTTTTTAATGACACCAACTTATTTTTTTCTTTTCTTGATTATCTCCCTTTGTGGTGGAAATTGACCCTTTATTTAAAGAAAAAATCAAACTTCCTTTCTCCAAGGATTCTTTGTACCAAGTTTTGTTAAAATTGGCAGAGTGGTTCTTGAGGAGAAGTCGAAGGTGTGAAAAGTTTACAGATGGACAAACAGACAGATGGATGGACAGACGGCTGACAAAATTTGATCAGAAAACCTCACTTGAGCCCAAAGCTCCGTTGAGCTAAAAAAGTAGGGAAAAAGAAAGTTTACATACCTCTGAAGCTTTCATATCAGGACATCTCTCCTTCCACACCCTCTGAAAATGCCTGTAGCTGAAGGGGGTTTCATGGTCGTCTGCATACTCCTTATAGGCACTCTTCTGGGTCATGCAAGTGGGAAGCATGATCTTGGCCCTGTCTGGCATCTGTTCTCCTTGTTTGTCTCCCAGAGATGAAAGGAAATTGGACAAATGGGAAACACGCTCATGGCCATACTTCATGCCTATCCTTCGATCAGCTGATGGATTCTTGGCATACTTCTGCTCTATGTATCTGTTGAAAAAAAATCAACATGAAAAATATGAGCAATATCAGAATCTTCTAAGTTAATCTTTAAACTAAAGTTTTTTAATTATCATTTTAAATCATATAATGATCTGATTAAACAAGTTGAGTCTTTGAAAAATGGGAGATGTGGTTGTTGAAGATTTATTTGGGACAGATAACTTAATTTCCACAGTCAAACCAATGAAAAAATTCTTATGGTTACATGTATGGAGTGTAAAACATAAAAAAGATTTAAAGACACAACTATTTCATACAACATTCTATAATTCAGAGATTTAATCAAGTTAAAATAAAATCTACAAAATAACTTTCACACATACAAAAAAAATGTGCATTTTCATGCAAAACTTGTCACTAACCATAACAGTAGCAAGTTCTCAACATGTTTGTCAAAAACATGCATCACATATGTAGTAAGACTGCAAACCAAATCATGCATACTTGAGGAATTCAAGAAGATGTGCTTTTACATTATTTTCTCAAGAATTAAAATTCCAATACGTTATATTGAATTATATTTCATAAATGAATTAGAATGTGACTGATATATGGGCCGACAAATCCTAGTAGCTGGAACGAGACAGTAATTTTTAAAAAATTTTTTCTGTTTATTCAATTTTTTTTAAAAAATCACATTTACTGTACTACTACTTTTTAACTACGGGTACCATTGTGTATTTAAATTCATACTGACCTTTAACTATCATGCTAAGTTAAATCCATATAATGACATCAATCTTTTGATTGAGTACTCTGTTTTTGTTCTTTCTTTTTTTTTTTAGGAAAGGAGGATTAAAATAAGTGCAATGGAGAACATTTTTTCATTTGAATGTTAATTAATTTCTCTAAAGTAAATTTGGGAATCAAATCTATTTAATATATTCCCCTATCAAACCAGGAAATTTGCCAATGTTACCAAGACTAAATTTGAAATAATGATTCATATCACACAGTCTTACTTTGTCATACTATACATGTAATACTCTAATACTACATATTTAAATGCTTTGCCATTTTAATTCAAACATGTCAGGATGTATAGAGTAGAAACAACTAACATGACTATTCTTAGAATTAACTTCTGTGAATTTTATGAAGGACATGTATGAACATCTTTTTATCTTCCTTTTTTTTTTTAAAAGCAATCTGTCATGGCCCCTTAGGACCTTGTCTCCCTTACTATAAAGGAATGGAATTCTACCCAGCCTACTAAGATACTCAATGACCTAACATGCATAATAAAGTTAGTACTTGACTTAAGTTTCTGCATACTCAATATCATACAGCTTTTCAAGGATACACAAATGCGCACAGAAATTTTGTCATCAGGAAACATAACAAACTTATGAATAAATATTAATTGCTAGCTCATTAAAAACATTAGGATTTTGACTTCTAGATACTGTGGTTTCATTAATATTCATTGAGCACCAATTTACAAGGATTTCGTTGTTGAGCAGATCCACTAATTTAAATGTTCATTGAATTAAGTAATACATGTATGCTATTCAATTGTATCAAAATTGCTTTTTTTCCGCGAAATTATGTATCCTTGAAAATGTCCTTCTTATAAAATCATTGAAAATGGATACCAACAAAAATTGATGAAACCACAGTACTGAGATTATAGTGAAGAATTTTCAAAATAATTACCGTGATCTAGACACTCCATGAACTATACGCCAGCATTCACTGCACACTAAAATTCCAGCCAACACACACTGTTCTGCACAAACTTGTCCACGGTGAATTGCAATCTCCTGATTCTGCTGCGTGATGACCAGTTTCCAAAACTGCTTCCTGATGGAAAAAACTGCATTTGTGGGAATCTTCTGCAAACACTTGGATGGACAGCACTTCTTCTTCAAGTCTTCACTAATGGTCTCAGTTTGAGTCTTTTCAAATTGCCTTTTCCCACATTTTTTCTTCTCATTTAGGACATCAGCTGGAAAAAAAGAATAGAATTAATATCCTGTCAATAAACAAGAGGCCCATGGGCCACATCGCTCACCTGAGAAGCTTTTACCATTCTGTTCTTTACCACATTTCCCCCTTGTTATACATAATGCATCCCCACCCTACCCCACTGATCATAATTTAGACATTTTGAAATCTATACTACCCCATGATCCTTCCATGGGCACATATGTTTCAGCTTTTTTGCCCAGTGGTTCCTGAGAAGAAGATTTTCAAAGATTTTTCCTATATATTTCTATGTAAAACTGATTCCCTATAATGGCCCCGCCCTTCCCCCGGGGGTCATGATTCCTGCAATTTAGAATTTACACTACCCCACAATGCTTCCACATAAGCTTCACTTTTTCTGGCCCAGTGGTTCTTGAGAAGAAGATTTTCAAAAAAAAATTTCTATATAAAACTTTGATTCCCCATTGTGGTCCCGCCCTTCCCCTGGGGGTCATTATTTGAACAATTTAGAATCTAAATTATACCAGGATGCTTCCACATAAGTTTCAGCTTTAATCTTAATATCAATGTAAATGATTTAAATGAATTTTTTATACAAGATGGCAAGGGGAGGTTATGTGCATTAAAAAATTATCTGCATAATAATGCAGTTCATATTTGGGGAAAAAGGGAAGTGTTTTGCATTTGGTTAGGGGACACATATTTGACAATACATGAGATAGTGGAAAGTCCAAAGAATAATTAAATTACACTTGTCAATTTTAAAGGCATGATTTTTAAAAAAATAAATTGATATTTTCAACCACTTCTAGAATTAACCATGTTTCTTTTGTTTTTTTGTTGTATAAAACAATTGGGGGACTAAATTAGTTTGAACACCGAGCAATTCAGGTAAATTGGTGCAATTATTTTTTATTAACATGTGCTGCACTGATGAAAGTATTTTGATTTCAAAGATTGGAATAATTGTGAGCATGCTGATTATCTATAATTATTCAAAACAAAAGTTCTGTGAACAGAAACGTTGTTTTAAAAGTAATTTTGATTAAATTGAAACAACCATTATTATGCCAAGATAAAAATCCTTTATTACTGACATAGAATTATCAAAGGCAAATAGTTTTGGACAAAATTAAAAATATCAAAAATTGTTAAAAATTTAAAATAGGCTTTATTGAAATCAATAATGTCAGTCAAACTTCACAAGAAAACCAGCATGTTTTTTTTTAACTTTCGACAGTATATACAAAAGGAAGCAAACATACTCCTGAAGCCATTTGCTATTAAAGACAGCTACTGTTTAGGAGATATATCCCATTTATACACCTTGACACTAGACAGTGTGACACATCCCTCACACTCTTACCAGTGTTGACCAGCAATTAACTTTAAATGATGGCTTCTTTTCATTTCTCCTTTTTTAAATATTAAAGAAATATAAATTAAAAATCTAAAAATCTTTTTTTTTACGTTATATATATGCCTAGTAAAGGGGTTGGTGTTTGGGTTACTACATATTTAATAAAACAAATTTTTATTTAGATTTGCTTTGGAGCATGTAGAAAGCTAAGTTTTCAAATGTATTGTATCAACAGGGTAAATCTTTGAATTATTGATAGTATAAAAATTATATTATAATTAAGTATGATATATGTACATGCAGCCATTAGATATTTAAATGCAATGTGGTGATGAATGTCTAAATTACCTATCATTTCTTGACCTAAGAATTTGTATTTCTTGAATAATATACAATTACAATTACAATTAACTTTTCTGTGATTGTGTTTATATTTGTGCAGTGATATTTAAATTATCATTGCTGATTTTCAAAAACTAATCCCAAAAGACTAATTTTGAAATTACCGATTTCCCCCTAGTTTTAATAACAAAGTGAAAAAGAAATTTTAAGTATTTTGTAAATTTCAAGTTTTTAAAATTGAAATTTTAAGGGTTTGGATTGGAGTTGGTAAAAGTTTTTTAAACATGATAAACACTTGTCCAAAATGCATATTTACATAAAGGTGATGGATAAACACAGAGCCCCCCCCCCTCCCCCCCCCCCCACACACACACACACACAAACACACACAAAAATCATAGGCAGCAGTTGTAACATGATCTGTATTTTGGTGTTTCAGCATTTTAACTTAAAATTATTAATTTCCCGCTGTTAGTTATTCAGCCAAAGATTATAAAATCAGTTTATTTTTTAAAGCTAATAACTTGATTCATTCATGATCGAAAATTATTGGGTTTTTTTTTCAAACATTAATTTGACAAAAGTTTAGCTGTACAGGAAGTGCCCATAACTCAGGTGATCCCCGATAGGTCAGTATGGAAAAGCCAATCACGTAACCTTGAAACAAAGGTGTGAAATTAAAATCATTATAAAAGCCTACTCAAAGTCTCACCACCATAACTGTCACCATGGTGGGCTGGACTCTGTGTTCACGAAGAGGCTTAGTAACTTTTGTTACAACAGGTATGTAACTTATGTTAGATTTATTAGGAAAATTCTTTTTTGTTCAATTAGAATGGTACTTTGGGTGAGGAAAGGCGTTAAGGTTCAACAATACTCAAATAAGAGAGATAACTCAAAATGACATATAAATGTCTTTTATTCCTTTATAGATTTGTCAAGTTAAAGTGTCTATTTAAATGCAATATTGCCCTGCAAGCTATGTTATGATTATATTTTACATTTGTTTTGTAATATTTTAGTTGTTAAGGTTCAGGAAACATTTTATATGAGTGCATGAGCACTTGTTAAGAATCAAATATAGGAATTAGAGCTTTAGTTAATGTATACATTATGGGTACAATTATTGGTATAATTTTAGTCTTAAGTTATTCATGCAGTTTTATACTGATCCGTGTTTACCATGTTTACACAATTCAAATTTCTACAACGATTTAGAGATTTAGAATGTTAATATAATAGTTCAAATATCTAACTTTCAAAAACTCAAACTGATTTGGTATATATTGACAATTAATATTTTATTTCAAAAATTTCAAATTTCTAAACAGGTTTAACATTTTGAGATTTTAGATTTCACCTTAAATATTTAAAATTCAAATTTCCAAAAACAAATTTTATATTTTAAACAATTGAGTTTTAAACATGTTTAATCTACTGTTAAGAAAATATACACTTAACATTCTTAAGTTCGGTAATATTTTTGTATTTTGGGGTATTTGAAATAAGCTTCAAACTTCTAAACTCGAACTTTGAAACGTTTTAGATTTTTAGAAATTTAGAATTTTGAATCAAATTTTCTAATTTCAAATAACCTAAACACACGAGTTTTAGAATTTTACTTTAAATATATAACATTTAAACCAGTTATGGTCAATTTGATATTTTGAATATTTGAAGTAAACTTCTAAAAACTAAAGGCGTTTTGGTTATTTTGAGTTTTTATATCAAAATTCTAAATGTCTAAAATCTAAATCTTTGAATGGTGGAAGTTGGAAGTAAATTTTAAATAATCAAAAGACGAAGACGTTGAATTTATGATTAATAAACCATTCTAAACAAACAGAAGAATAAAAACTCAAAAAAAAAAAATTAAAATACAAAAACCATTTTTGGAATTGTGAATTTGGAACATTTAAGGTAAAAATGTAATATATATTAATTCTAAACCTTTTTAAAAATTGAAAGGTATATTTTTGAACTAAAATATTAAATTTCATTTACAAAATCAGTTTGGGTTTTTTGAAATTAAGATATTTGAACTTAAATATGTTAACATTTTAAAGCTCAAATCCATTTTAAGGGGGGACCTATGTCCAAAAAGTCTTTATTATTCAGAGTAAATGCATTAGGTATGTCACTCATGAAATTTTTTGAGAAGTATATTTTGGTTGTTAAAATTGTTCTAAAAAATATAAATTAAGACCAATATTAATTATTCCCAGCAATATCATGTAACAAAAAGTATTCTCCGAGTAAAAGTATGTGAGGCTAAAGTTCCAATATGTTAAATTTAATAAATGTGCAGATTTGCATAATATCTGCTAAATATCCTTCTACCACAAGAAATAGTCCCTCATAAATCTTGATTCTTTGTAGCTTTTTGAGTGTTGAACGAATGAATTAACATTGTTGAATTTAGATATGTTATAAAAATATAATTCTAATAGTTCTGCATGGACTTTTCTAAAAAGCTGATAAGTGATATATTTTGATATTTCTTAATATCTTTTCTGCTCTCTAAGTACATGTACATGCATGTACATGTACTTACACTGACTGACCTTTAGTATAAGAGAATCTGGGGTTAGAACAAAGCTATATTAGTAGTCCAATTAAAAATTCCTTTAACTCTGTTGAAAATCCTCTTCTTTGCTTCATTATTTTTCATAGAAAAAGTATATATTATGTTATATGTGTATAATTAACCTGAAGTAAGGTATGCCAGGCCTTGTCAAAAAATTGAAATTCCTGGTAGTGGGTTTTATTTGAAATGCTTATACACTCTAGTATTAATTACAGTGTTGGGTAAAGGGCATCGAGTTAGGTGTATTCAAATGAAAGGATATGCTTTATTTCAAAGATAGATAAATAAGATTTAAATCTTCGAAATCTTAGACTTTACTAAAATCTATAATCTAGACAAGGCATGATCGGTCACATGGAAGCATCATGAGGTAGCGTAGATTTTTTAAGTATGTTAAAGGGTAGGGTTATAATATAAGCTTGGAAAAATCATGAAAAATCACAAACAGCAAAGTCATCAATTGTCATCCTTAGGTAGTGCAGCCATTCAAGTTTCTTCCAATCCAGAGTTAGGGTGGGCTACTATGGTGATCAAAGTTAGTCTTAGGTATTATAAGAGCCAGGAAAAAAAGTCTTTAAAAATCTTTTCCACAATAACAGAAATTTGTATAAATACATTAACCTGGAAAGGTAACTCTCTCGTCAACTATTTTATATTATTTTAAATATTGAATTTACAATGGTTATTGATGCATGAAAATAAATGAATCTAAGTAAACACTTGAAG